CTTATTATAAACAGTGGCATGCTAGCCAGCAATTTTAGAATGTCATATGAGAAGAGAGAGAAAAATGGTAGGTTACACTAGAGCAATTTTTCTCACATATACATATGATTGTAGCGAATTTTTTAGACACAGAATTGTAGGCACTTGAAGGGACCTCTAGAGATCATCCAGTCCAACCACCTGCCAAAGCAGGCTCTCTAGACCAGGTTGCACAGGTAGGAGTCCAGGCGGATCTTGAACATCTCCAGAGAAGGAGACTCCACAATCTCTCTGTGCAGCCTGTTCCAGTGCTCTGTCATAGCACTGGTCACAGCTCTCTGACATTTTATGTACAATGCATGCAAGAAGTTACATTTCTAAAGGAAGCTGCAGATATATGATAAGACCTACAACTGCAGACTAATGAGTTTAATATCATGCCTAGTTTACTATCTCTTTGCATGTCCTCATAGCGTATAGACCAATAGTCCAGAAGTCCTATCACAGGTCCTGGGAGATGAGATTGCTAATCACCACCTGTTTATCATGACCATACTTGAGCACTCACTTTTGGTAGTAAAGATGTACAGCAGGCTACTCGACACATATAATAAAGAGAGGACCTTGGCAGGAATAGAATAAAAAAAGTAATTGCTCAAAAACTATGGACTCAGAGCTTAGATATGATTGCTAGATTATTTTATAGCACATTCCTAATTAATTACAATTGCAACTGTAATGAATGACAGCTCCATCATGGAGTTAAACAATCACAAGAAAATAAAACTACTGCCTAGCACAAATTGACATACTGCTAATAAAATGCTACTTCGTCACATCACGTGTTGTACAAATAGAGCAGCTTGGTTTTCACGTCATGCAGCTACATTTTGAATCAGCAAATTTAAGCTAAAGGAGGTGCAGAAACAACCAAACGAAGGACCTTTGCCACTTCAAGTGAACTATAGATGAGGTCAAGATGTTTGTACTACTGGAAGGAAAACCTGTCATTTTTGCAATACATAAATTACACGGTAGTAACTGAGGACATGGGGGCTGAAATGCACAGTTGCATTCTTTCCATGGTTCTTGTAATATACTCTACCCTGAGGATTTTGAGCAAGTACTCTGTAGGGAGTGAAAGGCTAGAGGTCATGCAAGCATATAATGTTCAGGGATGCTGCAGAAATCAAATAATCCCTTAGAGAGTTCTTTTTAATTAATCAAATGAAATATGCTTGTAATATCTCTGGCGCTGAACACTTTTGATGCTTTATTCAAAAAGCCACAAAACATCTAGCTTACAGCAAATGCACAATAACCATCATGGGATGGTAGTGTACAAGTACAGAAGAGCACTTTTGTCCCTTCTTGAGGACTGCATGTCCAACATAATATCAGCTCATTCCTTAAGCTCTGGCCATACAGTACTGGAGTAGGATTTAAGCAGGAGAAGGTTCTGCTCCTCACAACAAGAAGCAAGCAGAAAAAAGCTCAACTATATTTTTGGAAAGGGGAGTGCTCTCCATAGGAGTGCCTGGTATAATGGGGGCTGTTCCGCATTGACAACTTAGCTGGGGTCTGTTTGGGTGTGCAGGGATATAAGCCATGCTGTATGAACAGGACATAGGGACAAGAGTGGGTTGTATGGATCAGGGCTCAGCCAAGACTTCTGAGCTCGTCAGGGTGAGCTGCAGATGCACCCCTCTTGGGTGGCAGCTCTTGTGGGAAGGCTTTGTCATGACCCTATTAGCCTGTTGTCTACCTCTTCACCATTTGGTAAAATATTCTCAGATGATTCTTGTTATCATTTCAAGCTCACGTTTTATGAAATCTGACTACTTACTACTCCCAAAGCCTTCACAGATCGAGTGGTGAAGATTTCCATTAGATCTGCTTCGAGGTGATAATTCCCTTCTAAACTGATAACAGGGTTTGGAAATGCAGCATCCTGGCACCTTTACTAATTTTTGCAGGATCTCATCTCCAGCAAGAGTTCTGGCAGCTGCAAAGCACATTTCACTGGAGACTGGATGTATTTTTAAAATCAGATTACATAAGTCTTAGTTTTCAATTTAGCTCCCCTGCACTGTTGTTAAATGCTCTGGAGTGTCTGCAGCCATGCCACCAAAGCTCTCTCCAGCCATCAAAGCTCTCTCAGGTTTGGATTCAATTTGCAAATGCACATATGTAGCTGAAACAATTGCTGCATTTGCCAGGCCTACTTTGGCAAGAGCAATAAATGCTTTACAGGCAGTTTCAGAGGGCTGTCACTACCCATAATTAAAGGCATTTCTGCAACTGTTTCGGTCATGCTGCTCCAAGTCTCCTACACCCAAATCCTTTTAGAACATGCCTGTGACCAGCTGAGGCATCCTGCTTTACTGCTGAGAAACCCTCCTTCCATGGTTTTAATATGCAGCAGGGGAGTGTTCATAAGCTTTTGTTAACACATAGTGTAAGAGAAAAGCTATTACATTTTCAGTCATGTTAGCCAATTGCTGCCTCCATAAACTCCTGTCTGGATTACAAACCTTCTTTTACACAACAGTTTCTAACTGCTCGTGTTTAGTTTTTTTTCTAGCAGTCCTCTTCTGATTGTTTTGGCTCAGACTCCAGCCACATCCTTTATTAGAACTTAGTCAATCCTGCCAAATCTCTCAATTGACTATCTGCCTTATATCACTCTCACCCAACTAAAGATTTCACTTCCTTTTTGAACTCCCTACATAAATAATTTGCTTTATTTTTTGAAGAGTTCTTCAAACTTCACCTTCATAAAGAGGTAGTTCCTACTGTACCTGCACTAAGTGAAGATAACTTATAACGCCAAATCCTGTACAGTTAAATAAAAATCAAGTGAATTATGGAATCATACCATATCCCAAGTTAGAAGGGTCCTACCAGGATGACCGAGTCCAACTCCTGGCTCCACACAGGACCACCCAAAATCAAACTCTATGTCTGAGAGTGTAGTCCAAGTGCTTCTTGAACTCCAGTAGGCTCGGTGCTATGACCACTGCCTTTGGGAGCTTGTTCTAAATATCTGAATGTCTTTTCTTTTGAAAAGTGAAGTTCATAGTAAGAGCCTTTTATTTTTTCATTGGATTACTGATGTAATCATTGATCCTGGACTGGTGAACCTGCACCAAATTGCCTCTGTCAGAGGGTCTTTTGAAAGTGTAATTTCTTCTTCCCTTAAACTTACTGCAAAGAGAAAAGAAACCCCAGAAAAAAACAGCCACTCAAGAGTCTTGTTTTGTGTACTGACTTACATCTGGAGATGGTGGCTTCTTAGTTTGGCTGAAAGATCAGCACACCAAAACAATTGTATGACTGCAGAATACCTCCAGAAGGGAAGTGGAGGGTCTGACAACTGAGAGATATTACTAAAATATTACTGCAAATCCTGTGTTTTCATCCAGTGAAAAAAATTCAAGAAGTACTCAACTAAATACATAGTCTCCAGATCTTTTCCACTGAGATGTCAAAGTGTGCCAAACTATGAAACTGATAACACAAATGGAAAAAAAAAAATAGAATGCATCAAGCTTGGTAGTGCTGGTCTTTTTCCTGCAGTGGACTGGGTAAAGTAGCAGGGAGTTGCCTCTCAGCAGTGAGCATAGTGGAAATTGACCTGATGAGACCAATCCTAGAAGTACTGGACTGGGTCCCAGAGTGGAAACTTGGCATTTGCCTAAAAGCTGAAGACAATGGAGGCTGCTCCTCCTGCCATGGATGAGAAATCAGTCATATCTTTTGGCCCTAGTTCATAAGGGTGGACAAGGAGCTGGAAACTGCTTACAAGGAAACAGCTTGGGCTCACCCTGAGGAGCAGGAAGATCTTTAAGGGCTTACTCACGACAGTGAAGTCTCTGTTGTTACTATCTTTTATCTACAGAAATACCCAAGGTGCCATTTATGACACCTTTCCCATCAAACAGAGACAGTGAGAATGAGTGTGATCTTCTCATGCAGATGACTGCTATAAACAACAGTGCATACAGGACAAACCACGGGACTACACGTCGGAAGTGTTTCTGTGACAAATGGGCTGATGAAAAAGTAAACAGATATTTGAGCGAGGTGCAGACTGAGGGACTGGCACAGACGGAGCTGCTGATACCATGGGAGTATGCTCAACAAAATGCTCTCTTCTCAGTTCACTTCCAGGTCAGTGCAAGTTACAGGAGTTTAACCTATGAAGTCATTTCTGGCTTGGAATTTGACAGATACTGGCACTAACTAACTGATTAAATGAGTAGCGTACATTTAGAGAGGGTACTTTCAGACTTGTGGTACCCCGAGCATTTCTCACTTCCCAGTTCTGAGCATTGGCATCATCACAGCTCTATGACAGCCTGAACCCAGGCAGGCATCACACACCCCAGATGATGTGGGACATGAGCCATAGCTTGTGCCCCAGAAAGGAGCAGGGGCTGGTGAGCGACCCAGAGGGCTCCTTGGACACTGAGCAGTGGCTGGAGCTCATTGTAATGCAGCCAAATTCGGGATTCATGCATCCCACACAGGAGGGCTAGCCTAGAAAGATGACCTTAGCAAACCTTTGGTTTGCCTAGTTTGTTCTTCAGGAAAAGTTTATTTACCCAGGCTTTCCCTGACATGATGTGTTGTGCAGGACATTCTCAGTGAAGAGATGGTGCATTTCAGTTCAGTGGTTGTTTTGCAACCTAGGTGTTTGTGATAATGACTTCTAAAAAGGAAGTGAGCAATGAGATTACACTCTTGTCTGGACAGTTTTACCACAAATTTGTACATAGCATAGCTGATTAGCATTGCAGAAGAAGCTTAAAGTTGCATCTCTTTACTTTGATCAAATGATTCACAGTGTACCTTTTCCGTATAGTTGGCATCACTGCCTCCTCTTATAGCTAGACAGTGTTTCCCTTATTTTCCTCCTGAGAGACCCACAGAAAAGGACAAAATATTAGTAAGTAGGGAAAAAATGTGAACATAGAAACCCACATCTGTGTCTTCTGGGTCAGGGGTCCCACCCCTGTGGGGTGTGTGAGGTCACCTTCTAGTGCAGTAAACATTTCTAAGGAGGTTGGACACGACTGGAGCCCTCAAGTCCTGCCAGCCAGAGAACTGCTGTCACTAGGGGCAGTGCTTTCTGGCTAGAAGAATCAGTGCCTCTTAGTAAACTTCTATAGATGAAGATCTCTGACTCAGCTTTTATTTGACTGCTGGAGAGAAGCTTTCCCAGGAAGGAGAGCAGAGAGGGGCAGCATCCATTTTCGCAGTGAGGCAGGGTGCAGGAAAGGCTATGTTTCTTTCCACATCTAAAATACTCCTTAGAAGGCAATACATAAAAGCAGTAACACTGTTTCTGTTTGCTAAAGCCACCTATTTCCCCTACCTGATAGAACATCCCAAAGGTAAGGAGTAGAACTTAAGGCACCTGCTGGTATATATATCTTTCTGCCAGGTGATTGTATCCCTGGTGGCAGTAAGAGATCCCAAATGTGCGGGATGCATTTTGCTCACCTGTGATTTCCCTCTTTTCTACCGTTAACTCTTTGTGTGTCACTGACACACGATTCATATTTAGTAAAATCGTGTCAGCATGCTGTTTGCAGCAGGCTATTGCCTTCTGGTAGCCCCACCCCAATATAAAGATTCCGCCTGCTTTCCAGACACGGGCTGCATTCACCTTGCTAGTATGCCAGAGCAGTTAGAGAAGGCTGAGAAGAGCATGATGGAAAAGGAGGCACAAAAAAACTCCTACCATCAACCACAGGTTTGGGCTGGGAGCTCTTCAGCCGCAGCGACGGCCTGAAGCGGGTGCGGTCATTGAAACTCCAGCTCTTCTGGACCTTGGTGGGGCTGCCATCAGTGGCAACGTCGGCACTCGGGGACCGGCGATCTCCGACTGATGACTGCCTGTTCTTTATGCTCTGACCTCGTGGGCTGGCCATCCGGACCCGCTCCTTGAAACTTAACTTTTGACTGTGAAGAAGAGAAACGGTTTTTATTCTTAGTTCCGCTATTCTGTTTCTATCATAATAGAAAATAAATTCTAAAAATTCTCAATAGTCTTTTTCTTACACACTTTTAATTTCATTGAATATGTGTAATTTGGGAATGGAAATGACTTGATGTAGTTATTATCTGATAGAGACATAACCCAAAACAGTCTATCTTAAGTACAAAATAATATGTGAAGGAAATTAAAATTAACAAACAGAAACAAATTTAATACAACTGTCATGGATTAATCTCTAGGATTTACTTTTTTATTCCTTGAATTTTAAAAAGGTTTATTCCCACGTTAATCAGCCCAGCTCAGTGCACTTCTGATGATCTTTTCAGATAGACAAGAACAAAATGTGTTCTATTATTATTGCATGCCATATAGTGTTTTTGTTTGTTGTTTGTTTTTGAAGCAGGCAAGAATACTGTTAGTATCATCATGCTTTTTCAATATGTGGCACCTCCAGCATTTCATATGCATTGTTAGTGGTCACTCATATTCATAATTTCTTGTAACAGAACTTACTGGGACAAGACAAAACCAAAATTAACAAAACATCCATGAAAGAGAGTGATGACTGATTAATGGAAATGTAAGGTTACCCTCTGTGCTCACTGAAGTCACTGCTGGATATTAAGCTGGGGCCTCATTCCCTGCAGGTGCTACTGGCACTTCAGGACAAACACTAAGGCCCAACCAAGGTCATGGTTGTGACTGCTGGACCAAAGGTGGCCCTGTATCTTTACAGCTGGCCAAGATTTGTTCTGTGCTTGTATCCTTCCCCTCCAGTCATTTAAATGTGGAACATATAGGGTTTCTACTTCTCAATACTCAAATTAACTTTGTTCACCTTAAGGTGAACATATGATGAAATTCTGTGGTTCCCTATCTACATACTTATGCTTTTCCACTGTTTAGCCTTCTTGCTTTTGTCTGTTGCTTTCTGAAGCAGATGGCACAAAGGGAAAGCAGAAACGAAGTCTTACACCTGCTTTGGTACCCTTGTTTTATCTATGGGAACGGCCATCTTCATCAATGATACTGTTCAGGCAAGGGGAGAGATAAAGTGAGCAAAGTAGAAGCTGCTCATGGTATATTGTCAATGGGTCATGCAGTCCCACTGCACTGACCTAAGTTTTGGAGGATGCTTTTAAGACATCTAGAGCAAAGACTGTCTGTCTACTTGCAAACTACAATTGTACTTGAAGTTAAAACTTCCTAGCACCCTCAAGTCTCTGCGCTTCTGCAGACCCATAAAATATGTTTTCAAAAGAAATGAACTCTGTAGCTAATTAACTACTGCTAAAATGTACTGTGTGGTTCTTAGATGTTTAACCAACTGCACTCTGAAAATACAGAGTTAATATGTAATTATAGGAGATTGAATGTAATTATAAACTTCTGTAGCTGTGAAATGTTGAGATAATCAGATATCTTTGTCCATGCATAGCACAGCATTTCATTCTGAACACAAACATCACTGAGAGCAGAAAGGATGCAATTTGTAGCAGGCAAAAGCACATGCCAGAAAGCTCAGATTGAGATAAGTTTAGAGAACACAAAAAAAAGAAAAAGGAAAGAAAAAAAAAAAAAAAAAAAGAGCATATCAATAAGAAGATTACTAGATAAACATATTTCTATAAGGCATGTTGAATCACTTGAAAGAATACCTTTCCTATAATTTCTGAATGCAATTCCCTACTTCCCTTTGCCCAGAGTAAGCAATTGTTGAAATAAACACATGATGGTGCTGGAAACATGATCTGTTTCCACTGAAAATTGTTACCCAAGCCAGCAGTACTATATATTGTTGCATGCTCCATACAAAACATTCACAGAACCTATTATTTGAAAGAAAAGTGAGTTAAGTTTAGTTTTCAATAAAAACTACATTTCATCTCAGGAATTCTTTGCATTGTACAACTTCATGAAAGTAGAAGCTGGAAAATATGTGTTAGCTACATTATTGCGTTGTCATACAGCATGAACAACAGGATCAACATGGACTTCATCTTATTCCCATATGTGTCCCTTCTTCTTATGGCTCATTGTTTTTGATAATGAAAATGAAATCAAATTATATGTATCTTTGACAAATCTTAAAGTAAAAAGCTTTCTGGACAGCTCTCTACCTTTTACAGCCATTAAAAATGAAAGAAAAAGTGGTAAATGAGCCATAAATAAGATCAGTGTGGACCATATATATTTTTAATATAATCTAAGTGAAAATGAAAATAGTAAAATGAAAGAAGCATACATAATTATGTCAATTAATCTGTATTAATGTAAACAATGCCTGCATTTAAATGAACTTGTGCACAAGATTATTTCATTAATAAAAACTGAATGGTATACAATGGTTACTTAACCTGAATATCTTTAGTTCTCCAAACCAAAGCAATGAGGCAATGGTGAAAGGAACAGTAGATACTTCAGTTGTACTAGAGCCATTTGTAAAAGTGCAACACTGAGAATGAAAATATTAATTTAGAATGCAGACCTCACACTCAAAAAAGAAAATCTGCTTTGTAGCAATGGCAATGTAACGGCATGCCAAGGGTCCATGCAGAGAATGCTGCATCATGAAGAGAAACAGAGCCTCCAAAGGAAGCCTGCTTTGGAAACTGTTTTACATCTTGAAAGTTTCTCCAAAGACACTGGTTATAGTTCTTTGCTCTTGGATCCCTGTTCCTATTTTGAGACTGGTGGGAAATGTTCCGAGAGCCACCGGGTCCTACTCTGAACAGGAATAAATTGTGTGACTTGCAGCAGGGGAGAAACCATGTCTAGAGGAATAATAATAAATAATGTATCATGAAGAAATAACTGGATTAACTGTATTTTTGGGGTACGCCGAGCAGGGTTTTTACCCACAGTGAAGTCCCTTCCCTTATAGGTTCTGGGCTCTCAACTATCTGTTGCAGCAGTGGTGGGGATAGCATTAGAGATACAGATTGGAGATAATTTTATGCCCTTGCAAGCATTTTTGGGCATTCTACACTTGAATCAGTGGCCACTAAACATTTAAAGCTCTTTACTCTGTTTTAATGATGGTTGCATTAATGCTGTCCAGTGCCCTGCTACAAATTCTTCATATCTTGCAGGGCTTAGCACATTCTATTTTTTTCTTTCCTCTCTCTTTATGGGAAATCCAAAGAAAATTATTTGAATTAATGTAAACCTGCTAATGCCCCTTGGAAATTCACATATCTTTTTAATTACTTCCAAAGTTTAACTTGAATGCTATTCCAAGAGGCAAGAATTATTAGGAGGAATTGGTAAAATAGGTGTGTAAATGCTTTCTGAAATTACACAGGCTCCTGAATCAGACTTAAATGACAACAATTGGAGAGAAATCCAGCTGTTTCCAATTATCTCCATATTCCTTTAGATATGTGTCTGTCCATCATTTTCTTGTACTTATGTAATTGATAATTTATTCCTGTTCATTTGTATACGTTAGCTTTTCATTACAATCTTCCACGGCAACAGTTAATGTCTTTGGTCTCCTCTATACTTGCAGGTTGCAATCTGTGGATACATTCATATAAGTAAAACTGAAGCAAATTTTAGTGGAGCTACAACTGAAACCTCTGGAAGAAATGCAAGTGATTTCTCTCTATCTTTTTTCTTCTGGTTGCAGAATTTTACCACTCATTTGTCTTGGATTGTACATGGATGAGCCACTCACCTCTCTACAATAGCAAATGACTTTATAGCTCTTCTTTTCAAATTCCATCTTTTGCATCATAAGAACAGGTGTTTAGAGACACTAGAGGTCACTGTAGCTTCACTGCATCGAGATCAAACAGTTCTTTGGCGAACCAAATTACTCGACTCAATAAGATTTTAACTGATAAATGTCAACAAACTCTTGCTCTTCTCTCCCGTACTCGCAGTTCTGTCCTCCATTAAGCATCTTACTATAATTTTTTGTTAACGGGACATCACTTTGCCTCCCTGTTCTGCTCCCCTACTTCTCTTTCTATCTTCCTACATTTCTGGGCATTTCTACCTCTACACTTCTACCTCTACCCTATAGTAGCCTCCGACCTGCAGCACTGCTGCTTTAGTTAAAATCTGTGATTCAGCTTTTCACACTGAGCAGGCTGGTGGAAGTGGGAATAGGAACAAATTGAAATTAATCAGAAGTAACTGTAAGGCCTGAGGGTGAGAGAGAATGCTTTGAATCTTGAGTCGAGACAGAAACTCAAGCTGACAAAAGTTATCACCCATGACAAATAACAGCAATTAAAAGTTCGCGTTGATTTGCCATAGTTAACTTCCAATTAATACAGATGTTGATTCTTCCCAAGCTATACATTTTACAGAAATTAAGCTAAGTTGAACAAGTGCTAATGCAGTGAGTAGTACAATAAGGTCTGATGTTCAAATGTTCAAAAATTCTCCACCAGTCTTATTCTAGGATCCTGAATCCAAGAAACATATCTCGTGCTGTATCTCATACCTTGCCTTCAATGAGTAGTAACAAGTAGTAACAAGAATTTCAAGGACATAATGTCTTACTGTTCAATTGTCAAGCAAAAAAAAAAAAAAAAAAAAATCCAAACAAAAAGTCAGGGCTTTTGTGAATTTCCTTTATCAAAACAATTTCTGGATGAAGAGAATCTTTTTTTTTTCCTTCATTTTCTATCATCAGTTTGTACTTGTGTTGTTTTTTAAGTTACTTTTAGAAAGTAAGAAAAATTGTAATGTGCTTTAGTTATAAATTAAGTGTGTCATCCTCTAAGATCCATCCATCTAGAAATTACCATTTCTGGTTAGAAACAGTTTCAACAGAATTTAACTGAAGCAAATGGTTTGTTTCACATGCATTTCTCCACCTTCCAGTATAGGATGCAGGCACAGCTTCCACAGGCTGTGTCCAAGGGGATTCTTCTCAATAACGATTACACACTTGAATTGCTGATATTGACCAGTATGTTACATCTCATTTTTCCTCACTGGTTATTCAATGGAGAACTCAACTGCCATGAGTGTAAAAATCCTCTTGGACTGGGGGAAATGTCTTTATCTAAATGCTCAAAAATTGTATAGATCTCTACAGGGTGATGCATTCCAAAAGTTCAAGTCTCAGGCAGAAAAGGGAATCTGCATGTTGGCAAACCATGGCGTGCTGCACACTGCAATTGTATCAGTTTCAAATTACTGGAACTACTGCCATTGTATTAATGTCATTGCAGGCAACAAGCAGCAAGGGGAATTACAAGCACTTAAAAAAATAAATAAGGTCTTTTGGAGAAGTAAGGAACTTTAAAGCACCAAGGAGTGGAAAATAAATGAATCATGCACCTGATGTTAGTTGGCATTCTCAAACATCATATGAAGAGGCAGGATGCTGAATACCTATGTTTCCGAGGGATGTACATCCTGAAGAGCTTCTGTTTATTACTACAAAGCTTACTAGGAGTGAGGGGAGATAGAGGACCATGTTACTAAGCATTCCACTGCTAGGTGAGGGGTTAGGCTTTCCACCTCAAGTCAGATTCTTCATCACTGGCAATTCCTTTCTCATAAAGCGCATGCAGAGATAATAATTTACTTTACTTCTACTTTTAGAAAAAACTATGATTTAGTAGATGAAGAGAATTCCAGAATATAATTTACATGCTTCTTTCAGAGTAGGGATGACTTTTTTATTCCAACCTTCTGTGCTTGCAAGTCTTCATATTAAGACTTGCTATTTACAAAGTTAAGTGGAGCCTACAACTGACAGGTGAAATTCATTCTTTGCAGATGCCCAAAGTATGTCCTACACACAGCATAAGACTGTTTATGTTCTCAAGATGCTGTAAGATTCCTTGGTCCTGACCTCATTCCTTGCATAGGAAGTAGTTCAGCTGCAGTGTATAACTGAATAGAAATAAATACTATTTACACTCAGTGTGTATTTATCAATACAGATAATTTAACGTAAATCTTTCTAAACAGCTTGCAGAACTAGTACTGCTTTACAGATATATCTCAGTTTACACCTCACATTGACCAGAAAGGTCGTCAAACCTTTCTTTTGATAAGCGATTCACTAGAATACATACGTATACTGTTTAGAGAAATACACCATGTAATATGTTGAAAATATTTTTCTTAATATCAGTATGAAGCTATAGCTGCATAAGCATAGCTCTCTTAACTCTGGCAACAACACTCAGGTGCCTAATGAAAGATGGTAGGTCTATACATGACAGAATGAAAGAATTCATTTCTGCAAATATAAAATTCAATTTGATAGGCAAGAAAACATAGCTTTTACCTAAAGTAATAGAAGTTTTTTTCTCCACTGTTATTAGAATAGAATAAAGAGCAAAGAGTATATTCAGAAAGAAATCCAACGCATTACTTGAACAAACATATCTTCATTTAAAGATGAAACAAGAAGCAGCTTACTTAGGTCACATAGCATCCCATGCAAGTCACTCAGCAGTGCAGTAAGAGAGAAGTTAAGTAGTCGAGGACAGTCATTTCTAAGTACGTAGCAGCTGTTTGCATTTATGTTTTTACAGCAGAACACATACACATATTTTAAGTGATATAAACATAGAGCAGTATCTCAGCATAACAATGCAATGAACAACTATTAACAAAAGACATCTTTTTAAAAAGGCACTGAGTGGTCTATAGGTTTCTACCGTAGACCAGGATTTCAAAGAGTTAACAAGCTCATTGTTTTTTGAAGGGGCAAACATCTTTCATTCAGTGAATATAAAGTGAAAATACATGGCTAAATCACTGACTACTTTTAACACCACAGCAGTATCTCTAATAAGGGGCAGGTCATATCATTTTACATTTTTTCCCCTTCCATTTAGCTTCTACACGTTGTAAGTAAATCTGTGTCTTTAAGTCCTTATGGGTACAGCTGGGAATAAGCTCTGCACAAATCACTGTTTTGAAGACACATACTTATTTACTGCCAAATCCAGTCTCATCCTTAAAAAAGCTGAAAACAATTTTAAATGTTGTTGAAGGAGTATGCAATATGGCTGGCAAGTGTGAAAAGTTTTGCTCGGGCTATAACAATTTAATAAGACCAGTTCATTGCCAGTGATCCTATAGAGGTAACGTCTGTGAAAAGTAACAGAACCAACAGTGACAGTTTCTTGCAAATGACAAAGTAGGTGAAGCACTCCCAAGTGACGCTTCAGAGCAAATCCATTCAGCTCGAAGTACTGCAATACCAAACATGCACTTTAGGGAAGAGGATGGAATCAGGCAGCAGGGAACTGGTCTGAAAAGTGAAGAGGGATGAGGGCAATTTCTGTGAAGACTTTCCACCTGTTTTTTTGCATTTTAGGTATGGAAGTGCTCAGACTGCTCATAGATGATTAAAAAAGCAAAAAGAGTTTGCAAACCACAGTATAACACAGGGTAGATGCATTTCAGAAGTTGATGCATCACTGATGCTTTTTTCTTGGCTTTTGAATATTTTCTCCTTGGAAGTAAACTCCACTCTCCTCTGACTCTGCTTTATTGATTGCCCAACACTTGCTGACTCTCATTCCTAACTAGTTTTGAGGGCAGTACAATTTCTTTTGTGGCCACCAGGTCCTTTCCAGGCCCTAAATATTCAAGCTATACATAAGGATGAGGAGCAACATTTCCATGTACTATCCTAAAACTGTGCATCTTTGAGGGACATGGTTTACTGGGCATGGTGGTGATGGGTTAGCATTTGGACTAGAAGATCTTGCTGGTCTTTTCCAACCTCAATGATGTTATGATTCTATGATCTTCAGGGTTTTATTTACTGAGTGAGGGCAGCCCTGGCTCTCCATGCTACAGCAAGCAGTCCTAAGCCTGCATCCAGGCCAGGTGGCAACACAGCTGGTATTCAAAGCCAAATTCCACCACATGCCTCTACCCTCCATTACAGCTGCTGGAAATGGCGTCAGTTTTGTGGCAGGAGTCAGTAGGCACATCCCTCCTCAGGAGCAGGGTCTGTAACAACTACTTAGTGCTTGAACTTAGAAAAGCAAACAAATTGCCTAATTTTTCCATTCAAGCAAATTTCAGCATCGTTACTTTTATCAATGCAGGTTAAACTCACATTTGTGACTATTATCAGTTAGCAGTTTATTGAACCTATTATACAGAGCATAAAAGAGCAAAAAGCCTTTAAGAAGCAGAGATTTCAAAGATGGAAGAAATAAATTAAACTACAAACCTGCTAGAAGCTTCCCCTTGTTCTTTTCTTCAGGTCGGGGAGTGGGAGGGAAAAACATATTTGTTATGCAGATAGTAATCACATTACTCAGCTACAGATGATGTTAGATATATGCTAAACGTAAATGGATGTGTTAATTAGTGTACAACACACATGATACATTGCGACCACAAAAACATTCAAGCAAGACTTATAACTACAATGCTTCTGAAAAGTAAGCTTTCCAGTTGTTTTAACACATGCACAACATGCTTAGTACATACCACTGCAGACTGAGTTGGCAAAGCACTTAGGCAAAATGCATTGCTGACACATATATAACAGAAAGCTGTAGGCTTTAAAAGGTTTAATTTTAGGGTATCACAGCAATAGACTTATTTAAAATAACAATTAGATGCACTTTCGAGGGACAGTCTTATTTGAGAATATTTTTGGTGGGATATAGCTTCATTATTTCATATCCATCCATTCATACCAATGTTGTCTTCAACCTGTTTATATAGGTCAAAATTTTTTGCATGTTTATTAAAATCAGTATTCCACGTAACTTTTAATCTAAAAGCTCCTTTTAGTTTGAAGCACTTTGGAATTATGGTTATGGTAATTGATTGCTTATGGCTCTGTTCTTGTCAACTCTTTGAAATTCAAAAATCAGCTTTGGGTACCCAGCCAAACCTCTTTTTGGCTGAGTTTTTTGGCACACAATTACCTTTTTACTGTCATGTGGATGTTCATCACCCAGCTTTGAGAGAAACCACTAATTCTCTTGCACTGTCTGCAATAACAACAGTTAGGATGCTTATCAGAGCTTTCCCATAAGGCTCTTATTGTACTCCTTTCTAATCCTTATTATCATTTACTTCTAATTTGTATCCTGTATTGCATCAGTCAACTTACTACCTTCTGGAAAATCTTTACTTGGACTTCTGAAGGGTCTTGGATGGCCAGTGCTCTGTGGATTCTCACCCACACAATGACAGTGAATATTTTCTGTTTGCCAAGCTGTGATATCAGGTGTTTTTAGTTACCTTCCACTGACTGGGTGTATAATTGAGGATACAATTTCCTTTAAGGAAATACTAAATATACCAGAAATAATGACAAGAAGCAGGAATTTCCCCAGATCATTCATTTGCAAAATGACGTAAGGCTGTGCTCCTTTGGAAAGGTGTTCTGCAGCTATAATCTAGTACAGAAGCACAGTCTAGTCAAAGAGTGCAAAAATAGTTTTTAACTGAAAGAACAAGCTCTGGATTAATATTTTCTTTCTTAAACATTATTTTAAACTGGGCGAATGCATATATTGAATTGTATTGGTTCAGGGAAAAATTGCATTCATATGAATATTTGCTCAAATGCTTGTTGGTTGCTGTGACAAAAACAGAGGTATATGCCAAAGAAAAATCATTAGGGATTGAGCTTCCTAGAGAGTTTGATTTTGATCACCTTGTACAGCAAGAGGAAGATGTACTTTCAATTGTCCTCTCAAACTCAGGATCTTGATAAAACAAATTTAGCAGAAGAGCAGTGAAATATGTTTCTGTCCCACAAAAACCAGAGTTTGGAGGAAAGCAGAGGAGGGGACAGCTGTTGGTTGACACTCCAGTATGCATTTGCAGTGCTGTCACCATGTGCAGCTGGGACTGAGATGCATTCCCCAGTCTTACAGGTCAGGAAGCCTTCCAGCCCTGATCTTCACCTGGAGCAAGCTGGTGTTTTACATGCATTTATACCAGAATTTAGTTCAGGATCAAAACTTTCAAAACTGAAGGGAGCCATTTTTTCTTAGTAAGTAGTATTTACCAATAGGCACGTCCTTCTATAAATCTGTTGTAAATAATGTTATATCTTTATCAACAGCATGCAGGAGGAATTAGTGTAAGTTCAAAATGGGACTGTGATTATTAATGAGTGTGTTAAGGCACAGCAGGTACGGAGCATGGATAGAAGTAAAACATTACCCTTGATAAATGTTTTCTCATTGAAATGTTTCTAATGCCTGTGTTCAGTGATACTTCTTAGATAAATGAAGGTGATTTGTATCTGTCTCTCTGTACTAGGCTCCCAGATAACACTGGCTGGATTTGTTAGTTGAAAATTTTTATAAGAGAACTTAAGAAGACAAAACAAGACAAAACAAACAAATAGTAATTCTCTATAAGCTTGAACAGACATCAAGAACGGCACCAGCTGCCATATTTGTACCTACTTTGTAGGGCTGCAGGTATGCAAGGCCTTCAAATGAGGCTTCCAGGTAGCAATGGAAACCGATTTCTCATCAGCCGCATAACTACGCCATACACACTACGTGCAGGATATATGATAAAAAAGAAAAACAAGGCAAGAGGGAGCAGGGGATGAAACAAAAAATTGAAAAGCAGATTAGTAACCAATACAAGTCATGGCTTTCTTTTATCATTCATAGCACTGATACATGCCTGAGGGGAGGAAGAATACTTTCATAATATCGCCAGGTGGCAGTCAGGTTTGTTCGGCTGGTGTCGGTAGAATAAAACCGCCAAGAAGCCTGGTATGGGGAAACAATAGAAAAGCACAAAGGAACCAAGAACATGAAGTGACAATGCCACCGCACTGGTCATGGAGAGAGTGGGTTTTGCTCAGATTGGGATGTCTGTATTAGAGTGAGCGAGTAAATACCAGCAGAAACCTACCAAAGCTTTTGTAAATCAGAACATGGTATGGCAAGAGTTATTAGCTTCATGGAAGTACCAGAAAATATTCAGCATAAAGGTGCCTGAAAAAAGCATCACAGTGATTTAGTTGTGACAATTCCATAGGGGAAACCCACACAAACTTGCAGTTTCAGGTAAAGAAAGTGTCATAATACATTTCGTAAATGATAATGAAAACCAGGCAAAAAGCATGTAGAAGTATTCTCTGTGGTTTGAAACACTACTAAATGCTTAAAACTACAAATTAATTTCAAAGGTGAGCAACCAAAGCTTAGCACTGAAAATGTATTCAACACCTAGATTTATAACTGCATGTGGACAGTAACATAGATTCTCATCTCTGCAAACTGGTACAGCTTTCCTGATGTCAGCACAACTATATTAAATTGTACTAGCTGAGTATCTGTGCTTCCTGTATAATGTCAAGCATTAAATGTCATCCAGGTACTCTTGTATGGAGTTTAATACCCTGTGTCTTCCTGCACATCTCCCGCAGATGTATCTATCCTTCATCTACAGATGAAGAGCCTGTCGCTTACTTGGTAAGTTGTTCCATTGGCTGATCATCCACATCGTCAAAAATCTCTGCTTTATTCTTAATTTGAAACTTTTTGGTTTGGCTTATAGCCAGAGAAATTTGTTACGTTTCTATCTGCTAGATTAGATGGTCGTGTAGTTTCCAGCACTTCCTCTCTGGATTTACATGCTTCAATAATATTCACAAATAGAGAAAAGTATGTTCATATTGTACATTGATTGTTGTGATAGCTTAGCTATCTTGCAGAGCTCCAGTAGACAGAATATCTGCAACTGATGAGTTAGGAGAGGCTAATTCTATGGAATAACTTACCAGAAAACAGACATTATCCTGATAAACTAGAGTAGTGATTCACAAGGTAACTCATTGTCAATATCCATAATAAACAATTAAAAAAAAAACAAAAACACAACAGGCCATGTTACAGTAAATGATATACTGTTGAGATCCACCCTGAAATTCTAAACATGAAATTTTCTCCATATTTGAACTCATTTCCAATCCCTCCACCTCCTTTTTTTTCTTTATTTTCTACAGTTTTCCAACCTCATTTACAAACTATGGGTGTTGATTTGCTGTGCAGCATGTTAGTACTGTTTGCATCATTACACATGGTGGTAATGTCAGTTTAATAAGTTTCTTGTTCCTTATGTAACTTAATAAACTTTGGCAAAATAACATACTGGGAACCTGTAGGAAGCTCTCCACCCTTCTTCTCTATTCTTTCTCCTCTATGTTTCTCACACTTGGACAAGTACTTTCCAGAGTTGCTAATATTAGGACAGAGTCCTCTAGTTATACACTGAGTGCATTGTTTCCGGATCAACAGTTTTGTACTTGGTATACTAAGCCATTTGGTTGGAACAATTCCAGCCTGATCATACTCAGATTCACTGTCATGTGCCTGCCCTCATCTTTATTATTCTGCCATACACTGGCCAATTGCTACATTGGCAAATATCACCATCAGCAATTTTATATTAATTTCCAGATGACTAAAAATGCTGAACATGAAAATGAACATGAAAATGCTGAACAACCTTCACTTCTTAGATCCCACAATTATCTTCCTTTTACAGTGATTTTGTCCACTGAGAGTATCTTCCTGAGATCAGCTGGCTGCCTACTCTTGATCTGTTAAGTACACCATCTTTTAAATATTTTGATTGGATTTTCATACAACAGTAAGAAGAGGTACATCCAAAGCCTAATTCTATTATATCTATCCTCTGTCAATCAAACTTTAATCTCATGGGAGCAGTTTAGAATATATGCTTTAGAAAATATCCCAGACTCTCATACTACAGTACTGTAGACAGAAAAGGAGCATGTTTAGCTTTATTAACCAATACAATAATTTATGAAAGCTCCCAAAATAATGCCTCCTACTTATTTCCATGGAAACCACAACAGATACAGAGAGCACAATAACAGTATCTGATAGAGAAAATTTTCAGATACAAAACACTATTTTTCAACATAGTCACCACCATTAGCTATGCATTTTTGCCAGTGGTGAACAAGAGCCTGCATGCCACACTCATAAAAATCTACATGGCATTCTAGAACATGGCTTGTCTTTCACATCATTCTTGCCACTGCTGAAATACACCATCCACCGCTTCACTGTGCTCACATCCACTGTTTGTCTCCATAAATGTTCAGAAAACATCAAAAAATGTCAATAAGTGCAATTTTTTTCACATGGAGGAATTCAATTCCACATTTGCTTCATATGCACTTCCATGTTGGACATCATGTTGTCTGACTGCCCTTCTGCTGTCACCTATCACATGGCAATAAAATGTAATAGAATATTGTGGGAAACGTTGAACCTCTACTGCTATATCACCAACATCTGCCTCTGGTGACACAGGTCAACATTAAAATAGGAGGCATTACTTTTGGAGCAGCCCTCTTAAGTGTTTGTAAGACCCCCTCTCAGTCTCTTCTGAAGAACAGCCTCAGGTCTCTCAGCTTTTCCTCTTAAGGGAGATGCTCCAGGTCTCCAATCATCTTCACAGCTCTCCACTGGACTTCCTCTAGACGTACCCTGCCTCTCTTGAACTGGGGAGACCAGAACTGGACACAGTGCTCCAGATGTGACCACACCAGACAGAGTAAAGGGTGAAGATCACCTTCCTCAATGCACTGGCTATGCTCTTTTAAATACACCTGAGGATACCATTGGCCTTCTTGGTCACAAGAGCACATTGCTGGCCAATCTGTAGTTCACCCTGGTTCTTCTCTGCAGAACTCTTTTGTAGCAGGTCAGCCCCTTAATCTGTACTGGTGCACACAGTGATACATGCTTTAAAAAAAATATTTGCAAATCATTGATTGGCATCATGATGTCAATATTGGAGCTGAAACCGCTTACAAAAATTTCAGAAGTTTTGAAATTTCTAGTTCCTACTTTTCGAGCTTTTGAATTGATTAATACTGAAATCAGTTTTCTGGACAGGACTCTTCATTTTTACAAAGTACATCACTCACTGGAATACTCTTAACCCCTTATTCGTGAAAAGCAGCTTAATATTGGCAAGAGTGCTGCCCTGTCAGTTTGTTGTCCAGGGATCACTTCTAATTCATCAGCTACAGAAATGCAATCAATTCCGTTTCTTTAGCATGGATGAAGAACTCACAAACTATAAATAGAAATTCTATATACATGAAGAAATGTATTTCATGAAATTAATCTGTGTTAAACATTATTTCCACAAAACTTTCCGAACCAAAATAATAAAACTTGCTCCAATATGTACTTCAAATCATCTACTGTTATCTTCTTACTGGTTTCATATTTACCTGAATTAGACTGGCAGCTGGATTCCTTCTTTTCTCAAAGTGTTTCTGGCGATGCTGTTCCTGCACTTTTAATGCAAATCCTGAGCCAAGGATGCCCTGCAATGCAATACAATATTTATGAGTAGGTTTTTTTTTTCCTACGAATATACACAATCAGCTACAAAGTTTTGATCTGAAGTAATCATATGTGTGCTTCATTTATGACTGCACAAGGCAGTATGAGGCTCAACAACAGTGCCCATACATATTTAGACTGGAGACTCTTTATGAGATAACATCTGTGGTAGTATCAATGACTGCTTACCCCAGCCATTGCCTGAGTTTATGTTAGACTGTATTTCTGCAACTCTAAAGGCCACACACACACAGACACACACATACATACATACATCTATAGAGTCAGGCAGGAACATTTAGAGGAAAGTAAGCCATGAATAATGAAATGACCAGCTGACAGATATACCAGACATGTATAGATAACAAAGCTCATATCTGCAGTGCTTATTATAATTTTTGATTTTTGAAATGTTAAAAAAATGCCTTACTTAAGAGATTAAGACCATTTTCTCTCACTAATTCTCATCTAAATAATCTCCACTGTTCATTCTAGAGGGTTAGTAAAAAAGCTGACAATGAATCTTCTCCCTTTTGGTTTTTTGCTTTTTTTAAAGTAAGATAAATGTGATTCCTGCTAGGCAGACTCAAAGACCAAGAATGTTTCCCTCCTTGGCTTGGAAGGAGTACAATATTTCTTCTGGACATGCCTGCTTTACAAGGAAGAACATTTCCACTTGATTCTTAGCCAGGATAAATAAAAAATACTAGAAATGCACGAAAGAGTCACACACACATTTTACAAACAGAAAAGTGTTTGTGAGGAAAATCAATTTCTGTATATAGATATGACACAAGGGATAACAGTTCCGGCATCTCTGATACATAAGGTTATTCATCTTCTACATGTTCTTTTGCTAAGACTAAATTTCTTGCTAGTGATTACTAGGTAACAAAGATAATTAATTACAGTAGTTGTCATTAAATGTCAAAGATTCACAAACAGGCAATGTAATATAATTATAATTATTATGCATTATAATGTCACAGGTACCAAAATACTCTCTTTGCATAAGATAAAAAGTAAATGCAATACATTAGATGACTTGGTGCTGTTGGCAAATGCTGACTGTTAAGCTTGTTTATATCACTGAAAACAAATGTATTATTATAACAGACATATTTTATAATGACCAATAATGAAACCAAGTATTAAAATGTTGATGGACTATATAATATATATGGAATATGAAAAGATTCAAATGTCACTTCTGGTTTCCTGCTTATTTAATATTAATTTAAAAGAGAAAGGAAATCCAGTCTTTCACAATTGTACTACACTCAGAAACATGAAAATTATTTCCTTTAATGGAAACTAAGAAATACGTATCAACTGATTTTTTTTTAACTCTCAAGGAAAAGCAGTAATATATGAGTCACAATTCATAAAAAAAAGAAAGGAATTTCAATCTTACACAGCAGTATGCTACCTAATTTAGGGTTATATCCCAGTTTGTCCTAGCAAAAAACTTCTCCAAAACTCACGTAATGTCAGCAACACCAAACCTTTTATTTGGATGCTAGGAGCACATCAATATTGTCACAGAGTAAAAAGCCTTAAACAGTTGTTCTTCATTTAGAAAGTTTCCTTCAGCTTTTTGTATCCTAAGAGCAGTACAAGGTACTGAAGTTTTCTGTGATCATTTTACAGTTTTTTTAAGCATACTCACAGCAGGTAGTGCAAAGAAAGAAATGCCAAGTAGAGCAAATCCTGCAGAAAGCAACCTTCCAAGCCAAGTAAGAGGGGTTTTGTCTCCATAGCCAATGGTTGTCAATGTGATCTAAAAAAAAACCCAAAAGAATGATCAAAGATTACCAGAAGTCCCTCAGAGGTTAGCCTGAGATTATATAACTGCCTGAAACAGTTTTTTTCCACTACATAACTCAAGACATGTGAAATATATACAGATATTTTTAAAAGAGAAACACACAAAAGTAACATGAATACATTATTCTATGAAGACTCAATACTGTCTATGACTGAATAAAACAAATAAATAATAAACATGAGAAAAATACCCCAACAAGCAATAAATAAATAATAGATCAGAAAGTCTGGGATTTCACAGCTGAAGCAAATGATGGAAAATGATATAAATTGGGCAGAAAAAAGTGTTCTTTTCAGTGGATGTACAGGTGTTTCACCTCCTTTCAGCAGGACTGTACATATTTGCACAACTACACAAATATAAATTACACAGACAACATACTGGAGAAATACAGTAGTATTAAAAGGAAACTGAAGTTCAAAGACAGAATATTCAAATACCAGGAGCGATTAGCTGTTGCATTTTCTACAAGCCCATGAGTACAATTCAGGCTTGGTCATTTTCTGAAACACACACAAAAAATGCTAATCTAAGGATGGAAGGAACTGTAGGAATTTCCTCATCCTTTCCCCTTCCCTCTGACAGGCTCAGATAGACCTATGTCTACATGCTATGCTATAGCATTAGCTCAGACCTGTGTGGGAAGAGGTCAAGGAGAAAGAAGACTGCATCCGTAATTCCTTCATGAGGACAGTGCAATGATAGGCACACCAAACAGATGTTTCAAAATCTGTGGTGTGGAGGTCAGCACCCTTGCCATTTAGCACCACGACAGAGGAATGGCACAGATTGGTGCATGTGCAAATCACTGACTGCAGGCTGTGTAATGTACAGCAGGGACTGCTGAGATACTGGTATGTGGTTGTCTACAAAACATATCTCTAAGGCAAAATAAGGCCAAAGTTCTGGCTTCATGCCTATGTGTGCCTGTGCCTGGGATCTTCCCTAGTCTAAAGAAATGCCCTCCAGACTACTCCTGGCCTGGGAAGTGTGCCAGGCCCTACTGGGGAACCAGACTGGCAGGACCCATAGGCCCACGTACTGCTTGGTGCAGCAGCCAGAAGCAGGACAGTCAAGTAGAGGATTTCTGAGGAAGGGTGGAAGACTGCAGGGACTGTGCTCAGGCAACAGCACACAATGTTAAAGGACAAAGATAGACAACGACCGGCTAAGTGCCAAGGATTCCAGGGCCTGTTATTAATGGTGAACATGTGCACAGGGAATTATTTTACATAGTGTACCAAATGTGGGCAAGTTCAGGCTTAGCAAATATTCTGGCAGTAATGAATTCTTCAGGAAAATGCCTTCTAGAGACAATATTTTGCTTCCAGCTTCCTCAAAGTTCATTCCTATGAAAGACAGCCAAGCAATTCTATTTAATGTAGGGGTCACCACAGGACAAAAGAAGGAAAGTCTTTTGGAAGTAATTAGATTTCAACTATTTAAGGCTCCTTAGATAGTAAACAGTGCCTTTAATTGCTCCCATTGTTGGGAACAAACTGCGGATGTAATTTACCCTCAGAAAGCCATAGTGACTAAAAGGCAGTGAGCTGAAATATCTCTGCAGCTGAAATTTCAAGTGGTTATCAAGTCTCAAGGTAGTAATGCTAGCCTGGAGGGACACACAGCTTTCCATCATTGGGTGTTTATCAGGTCTTGCTCTCCTTGCTCCTCTTCATTTCTCTGCCCTCTCTGCCTGCATCCCATTTTCCCAGCTTTCCAACCCAGGAAAGCAGAATTACCCATATTCTTCTGTGGTTTGTTTTGGCGAGTTGAGTCAGCTCACAGAGACATCTAACAAGCACCAGAGTCTGCACAAGGCAGGCAAAGAAAGCCTTACTGAGACTGAGTGGTAACAAAGAAGATGAGAATGCAACTCCCTTTCTTTCCAGCAGAAGTGAGGCTGCTGCAGCCATGCTCTTGAACTTGCAGAGGGGCTTGGTTTGGTTTTATTCTGCTTAGCAAGGGTATTCCCAACTCTTAGCATTAGAGAGCAAGTGCAGAACAGTCTGAAGCTATTGAGACACAGAAAACAATAAAGCACTTGAACAAATGAATCCTTTGAATAAAAGTTCCTCAAAATTCATTTCCAGTCCAATCATCATGAAGCAGTTTGCAGCTCTGGAATGAGTCCAGTTACTTGGCTTCTACCCAGCTCCCTATCTCTTCTAGATGCTGGAAAGTAGAGAGATCTGTAAGAAGGAAAACAGACCTAAGCGTCTTTGCATATTAATGATATTGTCACCTAGCATCTTCTGAAACTGTTAAAAGATGAACTTGAACCTTTGAGATTTGATACTTGAGAGCTACATAAAACCAGGAACAGTCCTATAGAATGTATCTATGGGATTTCTCCAAAGAAAAGAGTACAATCATTTTAAAGCCTTTTTCCCCATTCTTTTAGGTCATGAAAATCTCTATGCATATCAGTGGTTTGTTGCTCATTTTGGGTTCTTTTATCTCAGGATGGTCCTTATACTGACACATGGGTGTCAAAGCCATACCATATCATGTTATTTGACACCAAACAAATGGATTTTATCTTGTTTTATATTCCTCTGGTCACACAGCTAAGAAAATATTTTTCCAGATATCCGCATGGTCCAGTTCAGAAATAAACCTCATCATCCTTGTTAGTACTGCAAGCAAATAAATGAACATAAGGCTCTGAATGGCATAATCTTGGGGTAACATTAATTGAGTGCGGTGTGGAAAACCACTGGATGTGAGACCACAGTAAGATGAGAAATTGTAAGATATAACTGATAAGAAAGATATTGACAAAAGTTACAGCTGGCACTATGAGAGAATGTTGGATCTCATGGGGAGTCAAGGGAGAAATGACCTTAAGTTCAAAGATAACTGGAGGAGAATACTGGAGACCTTCAGAGGATTCAAGTCTTGCAAGGACAACAATATCTAAGTAACTGCAGCATTAATATCATACAAGACCAAGAGTAATTAGAACACAGTATCAAAAATACAAAATTTGAGTAGGGGTGTAACAAACCTATGGAAGTAAATAGGGATGAGTTGTTGATCTGGGAGGAGGCTGGGGCTGAGAGAGGAATATGATGAAAAAGGATCAAGAAACAATAAAAGGGAAACCAAAGTGTGGGGATACCTGCTGAACAGCCACTGTTTGATCACCACAGCTTATATAGGGGAAAACAAATCAAACATTTTAGTTTCTTTAGTTAGGATTCGTTTCTCCTAGCTTGAAACACAAAATGTTTAGGTGTTTTCACCTAGACTTGGATAATAGAAAGGAAGATTCCTTCAGCATGTAACTCAACATATCCTAAAATGCAGGATTGGACAGATAAACCAAGGAACACAGCTAGTCTCAAAAAACACTGCGACAGAACTTGTATTATATCTCATTGCTAGAACTAATACATGTGCTAATAATAAGTGAGGCAATACAATAATGAATGAGCTTATATAACCTAGGTGCTTTCAATCAGATGAGATAAGACCCAGAGGGCTTCCCTCTTCCCTAATATTTTTTCTGACATAATTTTATGTTCTGATAGCAGTACTTACCTTTTGAATCTTTACCTGACATCAATTAACTGAAAAAAAATTTAGTTTGCTCAGACTATCATCACATTAAATTTGAAAAACACCATCAATATTGACTCATTTGAGCTAGTAATTGTGACAGTATTATTCATTTAAGTTGTTTTGTTCACCTACAGGTCACTGTGGAGTGCCAGAGCCATTCTGTATTCAACTGTAACTACTGGATACTAGTAGAAAATAATGTTTTATTAAAAGAAACTCTGTTAAATGTGTAGGAGAGACAGAAATCCTAATTGCATTACATTTGCAGGTAAAAGTAAACTAAATGTTGCTATGAACATGATCAGTTCTAGCTACCACTAACACTTCTGAGAAAATCATGTAAGGTTTGATTTCGAAAGACCTACAATTTTTTTTTTTTTTACAGACTTTTTGTTCCCATACAGTTTACTTATTTTTTTTTCTATTAAACCATTTCTAGTAAATTCTGAGCTTGAACTCTTCATACAGTGCACACTTAAGGCTGTATTGAGCAGCACCATGGGGACTCCAACTATAAGAATATTCACAGTAGAAACATTAGCACGATGCTTAAACTGCACGTTGTGCTGTACAATGTGCAACTACAGAGCAGTATTCAGATGCAAATTAGTATGCCATATCCTGTCTTTTGTCTCAATGCAAAGTTATGGGCTTTAAAAATGAAATTCATGAAATGACCTTAGCATGGTACAATCCTCAAATAATTGGAATTAATGCATGGGCTAATTGCCGCATGCTGGGTCTGGATCGGGAGAGGAGTGTAAGTGCCTCTAAAAGCTTGAAATTTAAAAAGACAATTTGTGCCTGACTTTCAGGCGGTCTTTCCTTTCTTCCATTTCTGCCATCACAGAATTCAATCTGGGATTTGGAAGTTATTCTGTGGTTGAAGTAAGAACAACTTCTTTTGCAAATAAACAAATCAATGAGACTAAGCATTGATTTCCCCTAGAATGCCACAGACTCTGACCTTTTCAAAATCTGCATGTGGGTTACTCTGGCAGTAAAAACAACTCATGACTAAGAAGCACGTTATGCATTTCCCACATACTGTTTTACATATTATACCAAAAATACTATTATTAAAATGGAAAAGATAACAGGTAAAGGGGATCATAGATTTTCAGTAATGTTGTGCACTTAAGTACATTAAAAATTTAAATCTATTCATGTCACACACTGGGGGAAAGAAGGAAAGGTATAGAAATGTACAATAGAGATTGTTTTCAGGTTTTTTGATTATAATTTGCTGTTTTACCTGCTGATGTCAAGAAAAGATTCCTATTTTCTCAGTTGCACTACTTATCTGACCTATGAGTCATTCTAGCTTCATAGTATACAAAATATTTTAAGCACCACTTTGTACAATGATTACTTCTTAGCAGGGTTTTTCCTCCAAAAAAATAGCAGTCAGCAGGTAGTGCAAAAGTAAATTCTAAAACAAAGATCATACTTCTGCTGTTAGAGGTGCTCAGGAGGAAGGATGTGGATCTGACATGAGCCTCAGTTGGATATTGGAGTTGAGGTCTGGGTTTGCTGAGCCTTCCCATTCCTTGTGGGTCTGTGTCCACTCACCAGAGCCTGCCGGCAGATGGGTACAATCCTGTGCTAAGCCCCAAGTCTCTGCCTACCCAGTGCTAAGTCAAACAAAGCTTTGCAGACATATAGGAGCTGTTTCCTGGGAAACTGAGTGGCTGAAAACAGACATTCTCAGACCCATGCGACGCAACATCCCACCTGCACGACCTACAGAGGCCTTCTTGCAGGACTCGCTGCCAAACAAAAAAGGAAAATTATGTTTGCAGACTACTGGAGACTACTGGAGAAAATTATGTTTGCAGACTACTGGTACCCAAAGGCAAGGTCAGTGGCATCCTCAGCCAGAAGCTTCAGAAAGCTGTAAGCAAATCTGAACCTCAGCTTTCGGAGAAAGTAAACCTCCTTCTGCTTGGGATGAATTATTTCAGTTACAGACAGAGAACCCACGAAATAAAGAGTTATGGTGAGACTGAGGGCAAAACCTGCTTTGATGGCTTTAGCCAATGTGAATCTTATGTGCATTCACAATACAGAATAGAAGCATGTATGCTATTACAGATTTTGCCTTGACACTCTTAAAAAAGTTTCAGGAAAAATATTTCTGTCCTTTTGTAGATGTGCAAATAAGAGCCATTAAGTCTGGCTTTTCCTACCTCCCCAGTTTTGTGCATGAGTACAACAATACTAGGGAAGATATGTAACAAACAATTATTCCTAGGATGAACAAATTTCAAACACAGAGGCTAGTTATACTAATAGAAAATGACCCTGACCTTTGCTCAGAATGTAAATGAAACTTATTAAAAATACTTTTCAAAGATTCAGTGCATTTTGGAAAAAGTTTTTGAATAGTTCTGAATCTGCAAATACTACTGAATCCAAACAGAGTCCATTTTAGCAGAGGATCTGAGGTGAGAAAGCTTCATTTCTGCATCTCTCTGATCAGGAAAGGTGGCAGAGGATGCTACAGCTCTCATGCTTATCCCAGAAAAACTAATGAGTGCTCTTGGTCATGTCAGCATTAATGATCGCACAGGCATCATTCCTCTATCCAGACAGTATCAGAGCTCATGGTGTTTGTTCTACTGAATCAGAAGGATTTAAAAAAAATAAAAATAAAAATCCCAAGACAACAACCAAACCCCTCCACATTTTTTTTTTTACTGCTTGGCAATAGCTTTGTAATAGGTTTTGTTGGGGCAAGTATTCTAGCTGCTGTTCAAGTAACTCCCACATAGTACAGAGGTCTAGCTCATTACAGAGCATATTTCAGGAAAAAAAAAAAAAAAAGAAGGAAGAAAAAAAAGAAAAAAAAAAGCTTTACATTGGGCCATAAAAGAATAAATCAACTACTTAGACACCTAGGTCGTCATTACTTCATTGTTCATTTAAAGCCTGGTTTATTTAAACATATAAGCATTCATATAATCCTCCTACTTTTGGAAAAGCAGTCAGGCATGTACTTACATCCCACAGATTTCAACAAAGTAATTGATTTGATAGTTAAGCAAGACCTTAAATGCTCAGCTAAATCAGGACTTTTACACCTGTAAAAAACACTGCTGAACCAGAATAATAATATTTATTCTTGCCTTTTTGTCCTCAAGGCACAGGGAAGGAAAAAGAATTTCATTCTAAGGGCAGTGAAAAAACTTCCTTTCACTGCAAAGCTGATGTAAGAATTTTATTCCCACTTCCCTGACACTTCCTGCTCTGCAGCTTATAGCTCTCATTTGGATCAAAGCAGCTCCTTGTGGGACATTACTACAGAACGAATTAATGAAAAGATCTGGCTTAAAAAGTAAAATGCTTTCTTCTCTTGGAGGTTCAGTGATCTGATTTGCAGCAGAAACTCATAAACAGCTGTTCTGCAGGATGGAGTAAAATGAACTATGGATGTACAAATGAATAGCTGGAGTAGGTGTAGGGAGACTCTGGGACCAGCTTTCTGCCAGTGGAAACAATTCACAGAACATCTCACTAAGTTAAAATCAACAGCAGGTGCAATCCAAAGCACTCTAGCATACTACGAAGCAGCGTATTCTTTTTGTGTACTTACTGTGCCCCACCAGAGAGCATCTGCATATGTGGAGAACTGATTATTTGCATCTTTTTCCACCAGATAAACCAGGAAAGATGAAAAGATGAGTACTAAAAATCCTATGTACCAGGCCGTGATTAATTCCTAGATAAAACAAAGCAGAGATTAATATCCATTTGAATGATTGAACAGAATGGCACTTCAAGAAAGACACAGTGAAAATATCTATATACTTCTTTTGGCATTTGAGTAGTTAAAAGTCAAATGCTTCCCTGCCGATGCAAATTTTCTTTAAAAATGGACCAAATCTACTCCTTTGATGCACTAGGAACTTCACTAATATACGTAGAGTTACACTAGCACACCAAATCCAACATTTTCAACATATTCAAAAACCTTTTAGTATTTAATATGGCCTCACGTAACTGTATCCATGGTCAATACAACCGATGTCATTTCAAGAAATTCTAGATATTCTGCTCACAATTGGTTACTATTTATTTTCTTGGATTCTTGCTGAATCCAGTGAAGACCCTCAAAGCCAGCACTTATGATTACGTACCTTGCTATGTGCATAAACTACTGAACCTAATAATTTCCAAGTGCCTCCTCTTCGGTCCATGCGCACCATACGAAGGATCTGTAGGAAACGAAGACTTCTCAGTGCTGATGTTGCAAAAATGTTACCCTGAGTTTTTGCAGAAACAACTGCTATTGAAGCGATGAGAACAATGATGTCTGAAAGAAATACATTATAGAAAACATTAATGTCCATGTACCAATCAATAACATGTATTGTTCATTAGCTGACTGGGGACAAAAGAGAGACTACAGGTGGAAATCCAAAGCAGAGAATTCTGTTTGAGACAGGATGTGAAGTGAGGGCTGGAGTCAGACTATGCCCTGAGAGATTTCTAGGGTGAAAACTGATGGCAGTCATTTTGAAAACATATGAATAAGAGGAGCAGATCTGAAGGATCCTCATGTTTGAACTTTGAAGACCGATGTAGTACCTGAACAAATTATGAATGTTTTCCCCTTTCACACAGCAACTTTCCTATTGAAAAGCCAGAAAAGAAAAGAAAAAGAAGAAAATAGAGCTGCCTCAGTGATGAGAGTCCAGTGGAATCAGACTTATTGGTTTCTTGTGAGTACAAACACTGTTCAGGCATATAGTTTCTGGACCCAACTCCTCTGATGTACCATTTCCTGGAAAGGAAAAAATATAGTGCTGGGCACTCAGGAGCATTCTTTTAGTTGGCAGCTTGGAAGATGTTTTTTGCAGCCTTGCAAAGTGTTAGGATTTATTTCTTCAGGTCACAGATGCAAACTGTGAGAGCGAGTTTGTTCTGCATGAACTAATCAGCCAACTGCCCTTTGAGCCAGAACAGCATTTAAAGGGAGATGGGAAGATAACAGTGAAGGCACACGGATATTGTGAGAAGGAATAACGTTCTTTCATGATTATTGGGGCAGACATACTGGTATGCAGAGTGGAAAACGACAGAGAAAACACTGTTACTTCACCACCTCATCATTAATTTCCTGACCTTTAAAAGCTTAAAGTCTTTTTTTTTTTTTTTTTTTTTTTTTTTTTTTTTTTTTTTTTAACAGAGTACATGGTTTAAATCTTAAGATTACGTGCTGTTTGCTTGTATGTTAATATGCAAGAATAAACTAAAACCATATCCACGGATTAGAACTTCATGCTAACGTGAATTTTACTTCTTTTGTGTTAGGTATAACACTCACCTTGTGCCAAGATGGCTTTGCCATCTTACCGTACCATTAAGGGTACAGACAATTTTGTGGTTCAAGGAGCGTCCTGTAAAATTGCACAAATCCTTGCCACGAGCCAATAAAAGTTTACATGAGTTCAAAACCAACTGGATAATCTCAGGAGAAAACAATCCAGGTCAAATAAACACCTAGACCCTACTTCTGGCTCAGGAAGTCTCAAAGAATCAGGCACTAAAGGCTGAGAAATATTACTGCATGCTTGTCCTCCTTGTGTGATCTTCCCTAACCACCCATTACTGACTAGTGTCGCTGTTGGACAAGTATACAAGCCTGGGTTGACCTTCTGCTTGTCTTCTGCTCTGACATTTTGGCTTCTACATAGATGGACCATATTTGGCTACCATATAGTTGGCTACTGTAAAACTGAATTTGCTTCTAGATGTAAATCTAACAAGTTTAGGGAACCAAAAATAGATAATATATCCTGGGGTGTCTCTGCACAGTGCAGAGCTCAAGAGCATAGTAATCAGATGCAGCAGGACTGGGTAAGAATTCAGAAACAGGATAATTGATCGGGAAAAGTTAAAGATTTCAACAATCCTAATGTGGACCACAAAAAGAAGTGAGGTAGGATTCAGCTCCATGTTGACATTTAAAGTCTTAAGTTGTGAATCAGGTTCCTCTACCCCATGCAGCACAAGGCAATCACGTCAGCTAAGTGTGGTGGTGCTAACCCTCAGGAAGGCTCCTGCTGACTGCTCAGCTGACTTGTGCTCAGGGCTTGGCACAAAAAGAGGATTGTTTCATCTGCCTGAATTTATCTGTCCAGTGCCATCTGAGATGTCCTAAGGTATCTGAGATATCCACTAGGTCCAGTAGATATGCCCTCAGACTAGGGAAGCCTGTGCCCTTCAGGAGAAGTAGCTGGAGAGCAGGGAATATCATGTAACGGAGGACACCTCTATTTATCCCACTGAACTAAGCCCTGGATCTTGTCCGACTGGAAGTATGGATATGCAGCACATACATACCCACCTACAAGCAATCTCCTATATTTAGGAGTGTTTATCTCGATCTGAGGCTCATGTAGGGTGTGCAAAAAAGCTGTGAGCAATATGGACTGTGTTGAAGATGGAGTATCTCTGGTTACTAGAAGAACATCACATTTAGCTTGGCTTGATCCACACTGCCCTGAGCACAGCAGCAATACAACAGCCATTTCTACTTAGTGGGGGAGATATCAGCAAATCAGATATTATCAAAAAACAGTGTGCACTACAGAAAAACAGTCTTAGAACTTGAAAAATATAATCCAAATATTAGGAATTATATTTTTGGTCCAGAAATGATTTATGTTCTTTCAGAGAGTTTTGGTTTCCCTCAGCTGCTTTCAAGGTGACTTTTTTTTTGAAAAGCAAATGATTTTGTCCCTTCACTTTTTCTTTTCCATACCAGGAATTCTGTCAGCTTTTGTTATAACAGTGCAAAAAGTTCAGATTAATTCACTGCTCCCAGCACCGCACAGCATCTGCTGAGAACACTCTGTCCTTCTGCCCCACTGAAGGTCTCTGGTCCCTTCTGACCGTGTGAGATGAAGCCAACAACAGCATAGCTCATTTCTCTCTCTCTTTAGTATTGGTCCAAGGGAGTTATCAACTCATATAGACCTTTCAAGATGGAGAGCAGAGAGGAAGAGAGGCAAAGTGGTGAGGAAGGCACGAGGGAGCAGGTGAGCAGAAAATGCATGGACACATGCTTAAAAACAGTTGGAGGAGGGAAGAGAGCCTTCCCAGTCTACTGGTGCTCCTTTCACACCTTTCTCATTTTCTTCACCTCTTCACAATACACTCCTCCTCCAAAAAACCTCCTCAGGCTGGGAAGGAAAGAGTGTGTCCATTTCCAAAGGCAGCCTTCCCTGGCTCTGTTTCCTCGGAGGCAGGCAAGCAGATTATTTCAGTGTAGTGTTCCTTGCCAGGAACAGGTGTAAGATAAATCAAAATAAACCTCTCCTGGAATGAAAACAGAGTCCAAACAAAAAGTTGCAACAGTTTAAAGTCACTTTTGAATATGTTAAAATTGCTTTCTTATCTAAGCACATCTGTACTGGAAAATTAAAAGTTGAATATGATTCTTTCCTGATGACATTTTTATCCAGCATAGCTCAAGTGTCATTTCCTCTGGCTTATAGGTAAAATCTCCATGGTATTTCTGTGTTTTAAGAAAGCTTTAAGAAAATTCTATCAATATTTTCCTCTTATCTTTTAGGGACAAAACTGGAAAATCAGGAACTAAAAAACAAAGCCAGAAAGTGGATTATGGGCAAAATCTTAATTTTATAGAAGTAAATAGAAGTATTTCAATTAGTCCCTTTAGTCCCTGAACTGGGACTAAAGATACACCCTATCTTGCTGTAAAGCACCAGGAAACACTGGAATGTGAATGAATAATGGGCAATGTAGTTCCAAACATCCCTGTCCCGACTTACTAGAAGGCAGATGTTCCTGAAGCACACTTATTTCTTTGATTTATTTCAAGCTAATATTTTGGGATCTTTCAAAATTTTAAGCATCTCTTCAGCTATGAGGCAGATTTTATTCAATATTTAGAAATCTCTTAAATTACTATCTTTGCAGACAGCATCCTCCCTCATTAACTCCAGTCTGAGATTCTGGATCTTCTTGGCAACTTTTGTAGTGTTCAGTTTTGAACACTTAATTTCAAATTAAATTTCACACAAAGTATTCTTTCATTTTGGTATTTTTTCATCTAGCACTGCTCAAAATCCCCACGATTGCATAGAAGCCTTGTTAATAGTAATTTTGTAAAAGCTTTTTCATGTGACAGTCACTATGTTAACACTTGATGGGCCAGAAAAAAAGAAAACCGATGAACCTAGAATGATGCATATAACATATTGTATCTTTTTTATATATATTTATATATTTTTATATTGTCCAATCTCATTAAAATAGTGACATGTAAGTAAAGACAAGTGACCAAAGCCTAGTAATGCAAGAACATGAAATGCAGCAATAGCTCATGAAGGATGCATCAATCTGAGTTCCTCTCTTCGCCGAGGAAGTACTTCCAGTGGTCATGGACTGACCGAGAGAGATTCCTAATTATAAAAAGAGGCCTCACAAATAATCATAATGGGTTGTTTTATGTGTCATGGCTTTTCCAATACAATGTCCCTACTATGAGCTTATTGCATGCTTTAAAATTTTATAGCACCAGTTACAAAATTTGAAGGGAACAGATAAAAGGGTGAGCATGGAAACCTTACTAAAACATCCCAAAGCCTTGATATGACTTGAGAGCAGCCGTAAGGAGAAAGATTTGGGAGTGTTGGTTGATGAAAGATTTAACATGAGCTGGCAATGTGCACTTGCAGCTCAGAAGGCCAACTCTATTCTGGGTTGCTTCAAGAGAAGTGTGACCAGCAGGTCGAGGGAGGTGATTCTGCCCTTCTAATCTGCTCTCCTGAAACACTGCATTCAGTTCTGGGGCCTCCAACACAAGAAGGACATAGAGCTGTTGGAGCAGATCCAGAGGAGGGCCATGAAGGTGATCAGAGGGCTGGAGCACCTCCTCTACAAGGACAGGCTGAGAGATTGGGGGCTTTTCAGCCTGGAGAAGAGAAGGCTCTGGGGTTACCTTCGAGCAGCCTTTCAGTATCTGAAGGGGACCTAGAGGAAAGCTGGGTAGGGACATTTTACAAGAGCATGTAGTGACAGGACAAAGAGAAATGGTTTTAAACTGAAAGAGGGTTTCCTTTTCAGGGAAGAGATTTAGACTAGATATTAGGAAGAAATCCTTTACTGTGAGGGTAGTGAGACACTGGACCAGGTTATCCTGTGAGTCTGTGAATGTCCCCTCCCTGGAGGCACTCAAGGCCAGGCTGGATGGGGTGTTGAGCAACCTGGTCTAGTGGGAGGTGTCCCTGCCCATAGTGGGAGGGGGGGGAAGAACTAGATAATCTTTAAGGTCCCTTCCAA